TTTTCGATAAACCCCCTCCCCCCCCCCCAATATCCAGAGCTGTGCTCCACTCCCTGCAGTCTCAGTGGTGCAGTCTATTTCGCTGCTTCCCCCCCTCCCTGCATGTGTAAACCATCGGTCAAGGAGGAACCGAGTCTGGCATTCCCACTTGTGTATCTCCTTGAGAGCAAACCCCACAATTTCCCACAAGCTGCTGCTCTGCTTGCTCTTCCCTTTGCTCCGATCCTACATGTCAATTTCACAACATGTGCTGCCCAGCTGCATTTTGCTCAGCAGCTTCACCGGACTTCTCCAGGGTCTATTCAGTCCTCAAAAAACACAGCACATGGTGTGAAATTGTCACACGATCGGGGCAAAGGGAAGGAGCTCAGAAAGTGGCCTTGGTTTGCTTTGCAGAGAAGTTTTTTCCTTTAGGAGGAAAGCCCTGGGTGCAGCCGAGGTGCAATGGTTGCTCAGTGGGGATTCCCTGCAAATTATAAAGAAAATGCTGCAAGAGAAAACCACAACAGAGAGAAATGGTTCTTCTAACCCTTCTCTTGAGGGTCCATGGGGATCTGTGCTTCAGAAACATATTTTGGCTTCATGGTATTGCCACGAAGCTGTGGATCCATGATTTCTGTGGTTCAAGCTGTGCCCGTGGAATTGATATGTGATTTGATGGTGATGTTGGGGTAACACACTTGTAAAACCCTGAGGATCCATGAGGATCTGTGCTTTGGAACCATGTTTTTGCACTTTCATGGTACCACGGATTTGTGGAGGCATGCTTTTTGTAGTGGTGCCTATAGTCTAAGACATGGTGTACGGTATGATGTTGGTTTCATTTCGTTTCAGTGTAAAAATCATATGAAATCATGAGGATCCATGTAGATCCGACTTTTACCCAGACCCCTTCTTACTGGTGCAAGAAAGCACAAAAGAGCCCTCAGTGGTGATATGATATGATAATGGCAGAAGCTCACCAGCTCTGAGTTGGGAATACCTTGGAGATTTTTTGGGGGTGGAGCCTGAGTGGTGGGTGTCACCTTCTGACACATTTCCGGTGATGTCAGGGGTGTGACATATGCTAATGAGTTGTGCTAATGAGCTCCTGCACCTCTTTTTCTACGAAAAGACCCCTGCCCGGGGGCAACTGGTTCCAGCCACCCTTGCTCCTAGCACAGCAATGCCTCTGGCCCAGCCCTGCCCCCCTCCCCCAGGAAATGGGAAAGTCTACGCCCTTGCTGTGAAAACACACATGAATAGAAGCTATCAAATGGGAAGTGACAAGGAAAAAATTGGACTAGCAGGTCATAAAACTGAAGCATAAGGAGGGCAAATTGCATTACAAAAAAGGTAATGGGATTGTTGTAAGGGAAATGGAAAAAAATATCCCGTACTTTTTCAGCAGCTTATATTGAATGAAAACACAAGTGTCTTTAATCTTTACAATGCATGTTTTCCCGTCTCACTCCAGTATGAAGCATTATGCCCCTAATTCACGGGAAAGTCTTAGGCACAGCCTCAAGGCAGTCTGCATTGCTGTGTGACTGACCTGCACTGTACAGGAGGTCATTCTTGTACATAATTGCCCTTAAAGTCTAGTAATTGCTAATTAGGGGGCCAGTGAATAATAGTTGTCTAAATTGCAGTGCCATCAATTTTCTTCAGAGGGGCACGTGAAGTACCATTATTTGTACTGAACCAATTCTGGAAATGAAATAAGGACATTCCTCCTGTTACCCTGCTCACTCCAAACACATGCTATTTTTGAAAGCCTTCAACCCAGACTCCTTTCCCATCTGTAACCAAGCATAGATGCTTTCCATTTATTTTAAGTTATGTCTCTTGGTAGAGTTTCTAAGTGCTCCCCACCCGACTATGGAAATCGGACAAGTAGCAGCCAAGTATATGAAACTGAGAGACCTTCCAAGCGTCTCCGACGGAAGAGGAAGTTGCTTTTGGATTCTGATGATGAGGAAGAAAATGCAGATGATGAGGAGGTAATCGATGATCCCATTGACAAGAGGCTACATTCAGTGATTGAACATAACTGTGTAACAGCTAGTAGTTTTTTTGATTAGGCAGTGTAATTTTGCATTCAAAGAATGCTTTGAAGCTGATAATTTTAAATGGGTGGTTTATATGTGCAAGTATGTGCACACACATGCTGGATGACTAGTTATGCAGTGATGTTTAATTTTTGTTTGCAAATTTTTAAATTTAAAGTACTTTTAATTTGCCTTCCTGCTACTTTTAAAAAAATAATCTAAGTGGGTTATGGTGAAGTACAAAAAGTAAAACACAGTATTGACAATTTTAAAAGCCCACAATGACCACAGTACACCACCACCATCAGGAAACCAGCAATGCAAGGACCCATTCAAGATGGCTAATAAATTTCAACAGTAATCACCCATTGTCATATGCCCCCCCAAGAGAACTGCCTTGTACCTTTTGCACAATACACCAAAAGGAGGTGCCCTGTGGACTTCCTCTGAGAAGCCATTCCCAAGGCTTGAAGTCGCAAAGAAGGACTGTGTTCTAGCTGAGGAGGTCTTCAGATTATGATCAGAAGGGACTGCAAGAGCAGCTGTTGTGAGGACTTTAGTTAGAGGATGCTTGATGCAGGGAGAGGTAGCCCTTGAAGGAGAATTGCTGAAGGACTTTAAAGGTAAGCATCAGTACCTTGTTCTTAAAAACAAGTTGTGAGGCAATGCAGCTGTTGCAAAGTGGACATCAAATGTGCTGGGCAAGTTACACCCATCGAGAGATGGACAGCTGCATTCAGTACTAATTGAAATGTCCGCAGTACCTTCAAGGTCAGTGCCCCGTATGGCACAGTACAATAATTTCAGGTTCCTAGTGGCTGGCAGTCATAACAAAGACAGAAAAGTATCAAACAAGACAATATCATTAAAGATTAAATTTAAATTTTAAATATTTTTAAAAAAGAATAATTCAATATTGGCCACAGAAATCCAGAACCTGTAGAGTCAGAAAGTGCCAAAGACTTCTTAAATAGAATGTCATTAAGGTAGATGCCTGGCAGATGTGCCTGAGGAGGGTGTTCTTGGGGGCCTCAACCAAGAAGGCCCTGTCTCTTATTAGTCATCCAGTTTTAAAGATGGGAGTACCTGGGGCAGGGCCTCAACAGATGATCTTAAAGCCCTTGAGATATCCTGGTCCCCACTTATGTTAAACATACATTGTTGCTGTTGTTGAGAACCTACTATTGCTATAATACATAATGCTCTATAAAATAGCAGGCTGAATCCCTCAGAATGCTAATTAAAGTGAAAGCATATTCGTTAAGGCCTAATTCTTAACTAATACTCTCTGTAAAAGTCTATGAAGAGAGAAACAGGAATGCTCGTATATTTTTGCTTACAGTTTTTAAACATATCTTTGTGTCTAGGAAAAGAAACTGAATTTGAAAAGTCGTAGAAGTACTAAACCAATTAAGCAAGGTAAGCTTAAGCACCTTGGGTTTTGTTACTACTTAATGTTCAACAGCTGCTATAAAATGGATAGTTTTGCAATGAAGAAGGCCGGGATGATAGATAATATATATCCCAATATATCCAGGCTTGAAAAACTAATGGTTAGGAATAGTATTCCATCAACTGTCAAATGGAATAGCTAAGTGGGCTGAAACTTGTCAAAGGCATTCCTCTGACTTCAGCAGGCTGCATTCCCTCCTATGAGCATCAAACTAAATATGAATGATGAACATTTAAATTCAGGAATGGGAAGATGCTTTTATAGACCATAAGACTGGAAATATTTTATGAGCTCTTGGTGGGAATCGTCTTAAGTTAGATCACTGCCTCCTCAAATATTTATTCTTTGCACTGATTTATGGATTTATAGACCATTCATTCTTCACAATCGTCGGTTGCTATTTATCTTTGCCTTCACATGTCAATGTTTGCCCTCCTTGCCCAGTTTTCAGGATATTTTCAAGGACTAATGGGGCTCATTGTTTTGTATTGGGCATTCAGGATCTATTTCATCAGTTTGTGAATTTCAACTACTTAGAAGTGTGAAAAACATACTGTAAAATATGCACAACCTAGGTTTTGTGATTTTTGTTTTTAAGTAACAGATGGTTTTGATTGTTTCACTAGTTCCCTTACCAGGTATTTAGTTAGGGGGAAGCAATAGCATTAGAGATGTTGAACAGTTCATGAAACTTGCTGTTCCCCTGTTATAAATGGGACAGATAGCTCATCAAATGCAAGTGCATTGGTTGTTTAAAAAACAACAACAACTGTTTACTTGAAACATTTGTTAGCTGCCTTTCTCCCTTGCAGAACTCAGGTTGGCTTACAATATTAATAAAACATTATGAAAAACACAATAAAAACAACAATTTTAAAATACATAAAAGTAACAGATTAAACACTGCAGTTAGCACTGCAGATAGTAAAAACTAAATCAATCAAAATGCTGTTCTAAGTAAAGCTATCTTCATCTGCCTCGTGATGATTAACAATGAGGGGCCAGGTGCACCTCATTGGGGAGGTTGTTCCATAATTGCAGGGCTGCCACAGAAAAGGCTTTCTCCTTCAGTGGGGGAAGTCATCCAAACTGGTTAGGTCACACCTGCTCTAAGCAGGGCTATGCAAATTTGTGTAGACTGTATTAGCTCAGAGCAAGGCTGATCCTCCAATTTCAATAGCTCTGCCACTTGAGCCTTGAGCCTTACTCCATTTGCCTTGAAGAAAGGCCTCAGTGACAATCCTAAAAAGGAAAAAGAGACCGTTAAGACAAGCCTCTCCCTCCTGAAGTTCCAGGCACTGGAGACTGGCCAATGGCAGAAACCTCTATAGTGGCACAAGCTGCCATCAGTGCTGGCAGTCCTGAAGCTTTGGGTTGTTCCACAGCTGACCCCTGACTGCACAGGGAAAGCCCGGATGAGATCTACTGGCTCCAAGCCTATAACTGCTTTCTTGGAGTCTGTTGGTATGAAAGTCGAAAAGGCCTTGAGGAAGGGCCCCATTGCTGGTCTTAGAAAGAACTGGTAGTCAGTGGAGACAGGCCTGTCCCACCTGAGTCTTCAGACATTGGAGACTTGCCAACATTGGATGTATCTGCAGTGGCATGGGCTGCTGTCGGAGCTGTCAGACCCAAGGCTTTGGGTCATTCTGCAGCCAGCCCCTGACTGCTCTGGAAAAGCCCAGCAGAGCTCTACTGGGTCCAAACAACCATGAGGAGATTGCAATGGGTGGCTTCCGGGCCTACAGGGAGCGAGTGGATTGAAGCTGAAGGTGAGACACACAACCCCCGAGATACATGGGGCAGCGGGATAAGGCCCTCCAACATGAACAAGGGGGTGATCCAAGCAGGGCCGGAAGTACAGCAGAGCAATTTCCTCTCCTTCAAGGCTCTCTGAGGCCTTTCCCAGTGGGTTGGGCAGTTCAGGAAAATTCCAATAGGGTGCTGCTCAGATTTCCCCCGCATTTTTTCTGTCCTTTCTCCGAAGATTGGAGGATTCAGGCCTTTAGTCCAGCCTGGGCCTCCCCCAAACCTGTGCATGTCGGCCTTTCCATGGCTAGGAGTACTTGGCCAAGCAGTAGCTGTGGCTGAGCTCCGGTAGTAGTCTTTTTTGCCTAAGGATGTGGACAACGCATTTAAAGTTTCAGTGGATGATGATAGTAGTAGTAGTATGAAGCAGCCTTTCTGACAACCTCAGCCCCTGCCATGCTCTCAAATAACCTCCTTCAGGAGCTAGATGCTGACCCCTTGATGCTAAAGAGATCCATCCTAAAGATTAAAAGGACTGCAAAAATTTGCAGCAGATGCATCCCAAGAGGCTCCTGCACCTTTGGCTATAGGTACAGATTCCAGCAGAGACAGTTGCCTCCTAACAAACAGGACAGGAACCAACAAAACAAAGACCAGCCAGCCAACTATATGGTTGGAGGTTGACTCCAGCAGTTCCCCCACATCTGGATGGAGTCTATGACCGACCAGTGGGTTCTCTCTATCATGCAAAAGGGACACAGAATAGAATCCCCCCCATCACTTTTTTTTAATCCCCTGAAGACAGGGTAGCTTTATTGATTTTTTGTTACACCCTACAAACTATAAAGAACAGAAAAGGGGAGGGAATAGCACCCCGGGATTAAAGAAAGTAAATATACCCACACTATGACTAAAAGCCCAAGAAAGGAGATCTTTAGCTGTTAGTATCCAGTTATTTTTTCAAATCAAACATTTCATTTAAAGTCAATGAGTTAGAGAGTTAGTCAGTTCATATTAGCAATTCAAGCCAGTTCAAGTGCGTAGAAAGAGTCTTTCATCATCATCCAGATTTGTGGGTATTCTTAAAGTCTTAGAGTTACTTTGGTTTTCTAAGTCTTAAATCATAGGTTTCTTTGGTCGGCGCACCACCCGCAGCACCCAGATCTTCCTCCGAGTCCTTCTCTGCTTTATCTGCTCTGCCTCCTTGATATTGCTGGTCCGCTTCTGCCAGTCCAAAGTGCCGTTTCATCCATTCTTCAGCCTTCAAAATTGAGTCAATCTTCTCCCTTTTATCTCTGTATTTAAACACACCTTCAGGAAAGCACCAGGAATATTGAATTTGGTTGATTTGTAGGAGTGAAATCAGTTCTTTATATGCTTTCCTTTTCTGATGTACTTCAAATGGAATGTCCTTTAGGACCCTGATATCCGTTGCACCCAGCTTCAAGGGATTTGCTGATGCGTCTTTAAGGATTACATCCCTTATCTGTCTTCGGAGGAACTTGACCATGATTTCGCCTGGCAGGTTGTTTTGCTTTGTATATCTTGAGTATGATCTATAGACCACCTCAATTTCCATTTCTGCCTCTGTCGCTGATACTCCTACCACCGGCGCAATAAATTCCGATACAAGCTTCTTCAAGTTCTCTCCTGTC